CCAATACCCTTGAGGCCACCTCTTAAGTTCTCCTGCATTGCTACTGGGTCCCGGCTTGGATTGCTCATGCCTATCCTGGTAGCAGCGACAGCTGTTTCAGGAATTGCAGTCAGCTTGGGGACATCTTGCACATTTGGTGGTTATACCCACGCCTGATAGGCTTTTGGTCTAGGGTTTTTGGCCTGCCGAAGACTATATTTCATGTGACAGTATGCAAGGATGCCAGGTTGTCCCTCCTACATTGCCCTATTTCTGGCCTTTTCACACCCCAAGAGAAACTGGCTTCCTATCTTTTTATCTCTGACAAATGTAGTATAGCTCAAGTGTGGAAGACTCCTTCAGTTGCTTTCCAGGGTGTGAAAACCCCAATAACTGCCATGATGGCCAATGAGCAGATGTCCAGTATTCTTAAGGACTCACAGCAATGTTTCTTAAAGTTTGGGAATCCTGGATAAGCTATTCCTTCCCATCCTTACCTCCAACCAGTTACGGTCGTTTATAGTTGTTTCCTGCGCACCAGGTCCGTGATATTTTCTTCCTTTTTTTACTTTTTCTCTCTTGCCTGTTTCTCTCTCTCCTTTTTTCACTCTTCATTCTGCTCTTTTTTTTCTGGATGACACTTGTCAGCGGGGATTGTCACCTCTTAGAGGACAATGATAGCGATATTTGCTTTGACCTTCTTACTAGTCCTCCTTGGTTATGGTTAGAACTCTGCTAATTTAACATTATACATTGCCTATTTTTACTTGTTTCTACATGTGTCTGTTTAGATCTGCCCTCTGTGGGTGAATAGTGAGCTTGCCATGTTTGCCCTGAAAAATTCAATACATATATTGAAACAGAAAAGTTTCTGAGAGGTCCACTGTAATACTACATGAATTGAGTATATATAGTGTCCATAATGATGAAGAGAAAGTATATAAAGTTGCCCTTTAATACCTTTTAAATCCACAAAATAATTTTGAGTGCTGCCAGGGATCCCCTCCACCCACATTCACTGTGTAGATGGCTCACAGTTTCCTCTGTGAATATCAGAGCAGCTAAGATCCATCTTTCAATGATATAATGCAAGAATCGCAGTCAAAGCAGAAGTCAATGCCTACAGTATATGGACAGTGCAAGCTCCCCAGGTATACCAAAATGAATTGAAATTTGAACGGTACTCACAAATTCTGAATGTTTTAATATTTGTGGTTCAGCAACATTGATGATTTGCACACTTCATTTATGCAAGAAGAACTCTGTCTTTGAATACAGGCAAGAAGAAAATGAATGTGGACATGCTGGTAGGTTAATTGCCTTCTGTCTAAACTGGTCCTAGTATGTAATGTATGAATGTGAGTTAGGGACCTTTGTTTGTATGCTTGTAAGCTCCTTGAGGGTTAGGGACTGATGTGAATGTGCAATATATATGTAAAGTGCTGTGTAAATTGACAGTGCTATATAAGTACCTGTAATAAAAAAATGGAAAATCCATTAAGTAATACATTAAATAATATGTATATGAAAGTTTGGAAGTCTGATCGGAATTCACAAATATATATACACTTGTAATATATATATACATTATACAGTTGTGTTCAAAATAATAGCAGTGTGTTGAAAAAAGTGAATAAAGCTCAAAATCCTTCTAATAGCTTTTATTTCCATACACACAAATGCATTGGGAACACTACACATTCTATTCCAAATCAAAACATGAAGAAACATATATCAAATTTGTGTTGTTCCTCTAAAAAAATTGAAGAAAAGTGAATATTAGACTGTTCAAAAAGATAGCAGTGTTTGTATTCTTCTTTACAAACTCAAACATTCACTATATAAACTGAAAAATGTTTGAAGATTTTGCTTTCCTTTGAATCATTTACTTAATATTTAGTTGTATAAGCACTGTTTCTGAGAAGTGCTGTACATCTGTGTTGCATGGAGTCAACCAACTTCTGGCACCTGTGAACAGGTATTCCAGCCCAGGATGAATGGACTACATTCCACAGTTCTTCTCTATTTCTTGGTTTTGCCTCAGAAACTGCCTTTTTTTATGTCACCCCACAAGTTTTCTATTGGATTAAGATCCGGGGATTGGGCTGGCCACTCCATAACGTCAATCTTGTTGGTTTGGAGCCAAGATGTTGCACATTTACTGGTGTGTTTGGGGTCGTTGTCTTGTTGAAACACCCATTTCAAGGGCATTTCCTCTTCAGCATAAGGCAGCATGACCTCTTCAAGTATTCTGATGTATTCAAACTGATCCTTGATCCCTGGTATGCGATAAATAGGCCCAACACCGTAGTATAAGAAACATCCCCATATCATGATGCTTGCGCAACCATGCTTCACTGTCTTCACAGTGTACTGTGGCTTGAATTCAGTGTTTGGGGGTCGTCTGACAAACTGTCTTTGGCCACTAGACCCAAAAAGAACAATCTTGCTTTCATCAGTCCACAAAATGTTACGCCATTTCTTTTTAGGCCAGTCAATGTGCTCTTTGGCAAATTGTAACCTCTTCAGCATGTCTTTTTTTTTCAACAGTGGGACTTTGCGGGGGCATCTTGCAGATAGCTTGGCTTCACATAGGCGTCTTCTAATTGTAACAGTACTCACAGGTAACTTTAGACCTTCTTTGATCTTCCTGGAGCTGATTGTTGGCTGAGTCCTTGCCATTTTGGCTATTCTTCTATCCATTCGAATGGTAGTTTTTCGCTTTCATCCACGTCTTTCAGGTTTTGTTTTCCATTTTAAAGCATTTGCGATCATTTTAGCTGAGCAGCCTATCATTTTCTGCACTTCTTTATATGTTTTCCCCTCTCCAATCAACTTTTTAATCAAGGTACACTATTCTTTTGAACAATGTCTGGAACCACCCATTTTCCTCAGAATTTCAGAGAGAAATGCACTGTAACCAGCATGTACAACATTTGCTGCCTTCCTTCCTTAAATAAGGGCAATAATTGCCACCTGTTTTTCAAAGAATAAATGACCTCACTAATAGAACTCCACACTGCTATTATTTTGAACATGCCCCTTTCAATTAGTGATTCAATTACACAGAATCAGCAGCATGCAAGTCATGACTGTTGGGTCTGTTGGATTTCTATTACTCTACTACACCTGCTAGTAAATTATTTGCCATGTAGAAATATCATTTACACCAAAAACAGTGATTGATCAGGTTAGTGATGTCTGACTGCTATTAATTTGAACAATATATATATATTGTGTATATATATATATATATATATATACATATATATACTGTGTGTATATATATATATATATATATATATATATATATATATATATATATATATACTGCAAGAATCTGTATTTTTATAAGTTGAACTTTTGCCCTTATTTTTTAATTCATAGTTGCCATGTGAACAATATCTCGTAGCTACAGCAATAGGCATATATGCATACGCAGACTAATCCATCATTTATTTCATACTCAGAACAAAGAAGATGTTGATCAATATTTCAGGTTTGTACATCCTGACAAGAATTGCCATGAAAGAAAAAGCTTTTTTAATGATTTCTGTCTATGTAGTAGTGATACAATATGCAATAAGCATGCAATTTGGGAGTCATTTTGAAGGACATGCTTGAAGGCGTTTGATATCTACGAGTATGTGCAGTGAATACTAACATTCTACCAAAGAACTCATACCTTACGACTAATATATAAGTGCAGGATACAGAAAGCTGTTTGCATATAAAAACTACATAACAGTTTTAGATTAGCTCTTATATGCCATGGATAAAAAGTGCTTAGAAATCTACATTTAAAATAGGATTGTTGAATAAATGCTGCCAATAATGCTGTGATTAACAAAGGTGAGGAAAAAATAAAGATGAGTTTGTGAATGTAATTTAGCATTTTGCTAAACGGCACCAGCAGCAACTAACCAGAAATAAGACTGACTTAGGGGGAGGATTATGAAACAGTGCATACAATTTCTTATTGCCTATAGCAAGCAGGCTTCCAACTGTCATTTCTGAAGTGCAGGGTTAAAAGTGTAAAAAGTACTGAGCCTGGTTGCTACTTATAAAAAATGTTTATGTCAACACAGTTTTAATTCATCAAACCTCTAGTGTGCTTACTATAAGTAACTACTGTAAGTTGTAGTTGGGCTGCTATGGGAAACTGAACACCATTGCCCTTTACACATTTCCAGGCAACAAGTGAAAATATGCAGTAAGCTGCTAATTCCATTTATTAAACACTTTACCTAAGTCAGAATAAAAAAGTTAGCTCACGTAAAGCTAAACTCCAGCCTTACCTTCTGTCTTGGACATTTATACATTCTCCTCTCTTGTACTGAAATTAACTACTCTGATGTCTTTGCACACTGTAAGCTATTAACAGTGTGCATTAGAAGATGCAGCAAGTCAAATAGAGCCCACCTTATTATACAGGTTGCAGAACTTTCATCATCATCTAGCTCTTTGCTCCCAAGCCTCATTGTCTTTTGTCTGGCCCTGCTGCGCTCTCTGTTTAGTTTCTTGAATCTGATTGGTGGCTGTGAGAAGCTTGTTATTACTGGCATTTTTTTTACTTTGGGGTTTCTGTATGTGAGAGGCAGCAAAGAGGTTGTTTTATCATCACCAGCAAATGTGTTCAAGGAATGTCAAATTATAGGCATAAGAGAGCGTTGTGGCTAGGCAGGCTCCATCAATGAGGTTGAATTACTAAAGGCAAATAGACTGTGTGCTTTGCAAGTGCATTTGCACTCATTTTCCCCAGAGCTTAGTGAATGTGGTAAAGCTTCACTTTGTAAAGAAACCCAAATCAAGTGCAAGGAAAATAAAAAACAGCATTTTTGCTTGAACATGATTGGATGATGGAACTCAGCAGAAGTTTCCTCTTGAGAAAATTAATGCAAATGCACTTGCAAAGTGCACAGTCTATTTGCCTTTATTAACCACTTCCCATCCAGCGCATGTACATAAATGGCCGAAAAGGGCAGTGCAGGAGCGGGTGGCCGTTTATAAACGGCCTCCACATTCCCTGCCTGTGCGTGCTCCCTCCACTGATCGCTGTATGGTACCTCTATGTGAGGTCCCAATCATGTGATCACTGATTGGCCAATCAGATGAATAGGTGTAAGCAAGATGTTACTTGCTGACATCATTGCTTACTACTAGTGAAATCTGTGAATGATCGCAGAGGTCACATGGTACAAGGTTATTCACAACAGCCTTGTACCATGTGACAAGCTATGACCAATTACAGCTCGCACAGTATTTCTCCATGGCTGCAAAAATGCAGCCAGAGAGAAGGAGAAATTATAGCTTTTACAGCCTTTATGGGTGTAAAAGCAAACAGTGTAAAAAAAGAAAAAAAAAATCTTCATGACCCCCCATACGTAGTACAGTGTCACTATGGTGATATTGTACTGCTAGGGTGACAGTATGTTAAAAAACAAACAAACATAAATAAATAATAATATAAAAAATAGAATAAAAATGTAAAACATTTTTTAGAATTTTATTTTTTACCAAAAAGATAGCTGAATACATTTTGACCAAGATTGTTGAAGAAAGATTATTTATTTGCAAAATTTTATAAGAAAAACACTTTTTTCAGTATGTTTGGACTTTTTAATTTATATAGCAAAAAATAAAAATCCCAGTGGTGAATAAATACCACCAAAATAAAGTTTTATCTGTCTCAAAAAATACAAAAAAATTCATATGGGTACAGTGTTGCATGACTGCGCAATTCTCATGTCAAGTGTGATAGCACTGAAAGCTGAAAATTGGCCTGGACAGGAAGGGGGTGAAAGTGTCCGGACTTGAAGTGGTTAAATCAACCCCCATGTCTTTCAAAGTTTGAAGTGAAATTTAAAGTGGTCTGGTTGCATATGAAGTGGGAGTATGGTGTGTTCAGCAGTCTAAGATAGAATAAATATTTGTTATTCTTTTTAAAAAATTCTGTAACTGCTGAGTAATCAGCGGTAGACAGTCTGCAGTTTTTTCACCTTTTGTTAAAGCTTTTACTTTTGCAGAATTCAACATAGCAAATGGATAGATTTACAAGCTAAGCTATTTAAACTGCTCTGTGCCTGGACACTGCAAATAATTATTCCATGTGGCTGCACCAAGAACAGATTCTGTGTTATTATAACATTCATCTGGACACTTACAGACTCAGAGGACATTTGTAACTTTGTTAAGTCAATTGCTGCACATCCAAATGCTGTGTTTTTTTTACGACTGATTCCCTTTAAAAAAGTGTAATTTACAAGGCTATGACGTGCTGTGATTTCTACAAGGTACAGACACCACAACTCAATATCTTAAGAAAGAAAAAAACTTTCAAAGCTCAATGTAAAATAATACATTACTTGAATTACTTTAATTGGGTCATTACATTATAGGGGAATAGCCTTTTATAGAAGACATTGATTCAGCACTAGTTATTGCATATTATGTACCTTTTGCTAATTCTGGACATAGAAGCACAGAAAAGTGGGACTCCTCCAGGCTGTATTTACCATAATGGCACTCATGGGCTAGTTCAGCAGGGTTAGAGGGCCAGCACCAAGCCTCCAAATATACATACTGTGTTATTTTTTTTTCTAATTTTGTTTCCCTCCTCTGGCTACCTCTGGGCATATGTAGCTAAATTCAGCAAGAGAATTATAAAATCATCTATTCTTACTATTGTTTTTAGTTTGTACTTCTAAACAGTAGCAGTGAGTTAAAAAACAGACAGCAAGTTGCGTCCAATAGAGCATTATAGCAATGGGTTTTACTTATATAAATGCATGATGAAAGGGGTGGGGCTCGTACACAGGGTTAACAATCACAAGTTCCTAAGGCAGTATGAATAGTTGCTAACATTTCCCAAAAAGTTTTTAGGGACAATTTTTTTTCTGTATATCCAGAAAGACGGTGTGAGCAGAGTATAATTTTAATTGGGAGTGGGACATTCAATTGTGGGTGTGGCTCAACATCAATTGTGAAAAATGTGGTGTGCAATGATGAATGATGGCATCAGCAAGTACTGACTATGAGAAATTGGGTTTAAAACTACACTGTTTCATTTCTCACATTTTTCTACATGAAAACAAAGATATCATCTTTGTCAGCAAGCAGCACTTTTTTCTAAAATTTTAGATAGACGTAAACAAAATCTTTATTTTCATGTGGCACTGTCCTGACTGTGAGAACTTGGACAGTGTAGTTTTAAACCCAATTTCTCACAGTCACTGCCAATGCTACAAGAAAAAGGAGAGATATGCCCATAGCAGACTTTTTTCACTTCTATAATAGCACAGAAGTTTTGGAAATCCCCAGCACCAGCACCGCACTTACCTCCATTGCTAACTTACTAGTAGAATGAATGGGGGCTGAGGCTGGCTGCACCTGCCGGCGGCTTAGGCAATCCAGTGACAGGTCCCAGCCTCTTCTACATTGCTCCGGCAGAGTGATACAAAAGTGGTTGGAAGTTTACTTTATTATTAGGAAACAGCAGCACTGCAGATTACTCTGCAGCTCCCAAAAATGGAAAAATAGTCCCCAGTGTGCCATGGCCCCCCCTTTCCCCACTGAGTAAACTGCATCAGGAAAGTTTATAATTTTTTTAACTGCTGTACTAAGCTCTTACAGAATTGGAAACCCCTATCTGCTGCTGCCCCCACCCTGATCTCAGTTTTCTGGGACATTGGCCCGGACACAGCAAAATGCAGGACTTCATTCAAATATTCATGACCGTCCCGGGCAATCCTTGACAGTTGGCAACTATGTATATGGTACATAAACACAACCCTGGGCTCTCTCCTCCTACAACCTCACACTAATCAACACAAGTTACATAGTCAAGTTAAAAAGACATATCATATAATTATACAAGATTTACAGTATATAGCGCCAACAGTTTACGTAGTGCTTTACAATATGCTGTAAAGGGGGACAGTACAATTACAATACAGTTAATACAGAAGGAATAGGAGGGCCCTTCTCATGGAGCTTACAATCTAAAGGCAGGGGATGATATGATGGAGGTGACTCAAGTACAGTTGTTAGTTGGAGGTGGGGTAGGCTTCCTTGAATAAATTCGTTTTCAAGGATCGCCTAAAGGCGGACAGGATATGAGTTGACTGGACATACTGGGGCAGGGGGTTCCAGAGGATGGGAGAGGCTCTGGAGAAGTCCTGGAGGCGAGTGTGGGAGGATGTAACTAGGGAACTGGAGAGCAGGAAGTCTTGGGAAGACTGGAGAGGATGGTTTGTGCAATATCTGCAGATGAGGTTGGTGATGTATCTGGGGGGTGATGTTGTGGATGGCTTTGTATGTTGTGGTTAATATTTTGTATTTTTATACATTGGGCTAGTGGAAGCCAGTGAAGAAATTGGCAGCAGTCATGGAGCGGTTAGTTGCAGGCAAAAGACGGACTGTAGGGAATGGGGAATGTTATTGTCAGTGAGGTAGCAACTCATACGGTTGTGGACAAAGCATTCAAGAAGCTTGGAGGCAAACAGGAGCAGGAAGATGGGTCTTAAGGTATTCAAATAGGTGAGGTCCAGTGAATGTTTTTTAAGTATTGGGGGTGACCAATGCATGTTTGGAGAAGGAGAGGTTAAAGATGTGGATTAGAGAGTTTAGGATGGAGCAGGAAGGTGGGCACAGTAATTGTGTGGAGATGGGGTCCAAGGGGCAGGTGGTGAGTGGGCAGGGGAAACTACTTTGGTAGCTTCCTCAGTGGTAAAAGGGTTAAAGGAAGAAAGTGTTGAGTATAGTGTGGGACTTGGTGTGTTTGTTGGGGGAGAAAGCTGGGCACTGGATATCTCATCACGAATTGTTTCAATTTTGTTTTTGAAATGATTGGCAATCTCCTCGACAGTAAGCAAGTTAGTGGCTGGAGGTAGTGGGGGGGGAAGTAAGGAATTAATGGTAGAAAAGAGTTGATGAGGTTTGGATGAGGGGTTTTGATGAGAGTGGTGTAGTAGGTTTGCTTAGCAGTGTGGAGGCAGGAGTTGTATTTAAGAAGGGACAGATTTATAGAAGGTGAAGACATGTATGGATTTTGTTTTACGCCATGCTTGCTCAAGAGCATGGCTGCATCTTTTGAGACTTCTGGTTTTGTCTGTTTGCCAGGGTTGTAGCAGTAGAGGCCTGATTCTGCATGTAGAGTGAGGAGCGAGTGTGTCCAAGGAAGATGATAGTATGTTGTTGTAGGCAGAAATGGCCACGTCTGGGCAGGATAGGAGTCCAATTTTATCCTAAAGGCAGTCAGTAGTGGGATGAAGAAGGAAAGGTTGCGGTAGGCAAGGTTCCTACGGGTAACCATTTGCAGGTTGGAGGCATGGGAGAATATACGATCGAGGATGTTGCCATTGGAGTGAGTGGTGGTTTGTGTCCGTTGTATTAGGTTAAAAGACGAGGTTAAGTTGAGTAGTTGAGAAGGGACTGAGATGTTAATATTGACTGGAATGTTAAAGTGACAGAAGATGATGGGGGGGTACTTCATAAGAGAGAATGTGTGGGAGCCAGGAGAAATAATTGAGCAAGTGTGACACAGGGCCAGGATGCCGGTAAATTACTGCAATCCTCAGACAGATTGGAGAAAAAAGACGAATGCAGTGCACTTCAAAAGAACAGAGGGAAAGAGAGGGAGGTGTAGGAAGAACCTGGAAGGTGCTTTGTGTGGAGAGAAGTCCAACTCCAACTCCTTTTCATCTGCTGGGTCTGGGTGAGTGAGTCCAGAGGAGGACCTCTGGAGGGCAGCTGGACAGGCATTGTTAGATTCCTATAGCCAGGTTTCGGTAATGGCAAGTAAATTGAGGAAGTTAGAGAGGAAAAGGTCATTGACAGTGGCAAGTTTGTTAAAGACTGGGTGGACATTCCGGAGGGCACACATAAGGGGGAACTGACTTGTGGAAGCTGGGGGATTGAGATAAGAAATGTGGGGTCTGGCTGCTCCCAGAGAAGGTAGACTGCCAATTCTGGGGGTGAGAGTTAGCTGGTGGAGGGCCAGGTTTTGGGGCAATATCCCCAGAAGGTAGGAGTAGTAGGAGGGTGAGGGTGGTAAGGTATGAGTGGGATGTATACGAGGGCAGATGATGCAGTGAATTGGAAGTGGTGACATTCTGTGGGCTCAGAAAGAGCAGGAGGTGGTAAGTGCCTTAATATTGAGTGGAGAAAAGGACAAAAAGGGAGATATATACAGGTTGTGGGGTGGAGGGGGGTTACAAAATGAGAGTTTGAAGAGAGAGAGCATTATTGCAAAGAAGGAGATT